TCTACAAAGACAGAATTTTAGACATGGGGAACAGTGGTTTCCATGAGTTAAGGGAAGGGCTGGGCTGGAAAGAACAGGATGTGGCTATGAGAGGTAAAGATGGGAAGTTCTTGCAGCAATGGAAGTGGCCTTATCTGGATAGAATCAAATACACAGTGTCAACGTCACACTGTGAAATCGTGCAGTAGTTTGGCAAGATAAACTATTGGAGCAACTGGGAGAAAGGAACAGAGATCTCTCCATATTATTTCTCATAACTTCATATAAATCTACAATTATTTCAGAATAAAATATTTAATTTCAAGGTTAATGCAAAATAAAAGTAAAATTAAAAAAAATAACATTTCAAAGAATTAGTAAACTTTACAGAGCCTGTAAATATTTTTAAGGAAATTATCTCTAAATTCAATTCACCTTTTTCAATGGACTAGAGCTAAAGCATCAACTGTAAATTGAAATAACTGGTGCTTCTAGCATGCTACTGTGTCCAGAGCACAGTGCTGGGCACGGAGCTGCCCCAGGCATCACCTCTATCCTCCAGTGGGCTTCAGTCCAGGTGACAGCCAAGCCCTATTCTCACCTTTAGGATGTGCAGGCTTCACTGTTTTAAGTTGCTGAATCATCGTGTGGACGGGATATTTTCAAAGACACTTCCAATGCTAATGCTTAGTATGCATGTATGTATGTATTAATAAAGATTCAGGGCCAAAAAAAAAAGGAATTCTTGGGAGAATTGCGTAATTTAACAGTGTGAATACAAACAACATCTACTAAGAAGGAAAGCAGGAAACAGAGGAGGTCAATTTGTCAGGGTTTGACCGCCAGACTGTCCTTGTGGTGGGATGGCCCCTGTGATGAATGGCAATATTAATGGTGTTTGGGAAGGACCCAGAGAGAAACCAAGGGGAGTTCTGTTCCCAAGAACTAAACACTATCAACTTCAGCTAACATTTGCCCCTTAATACATAGAAGGACACTGTTAGGCTTTTGTGTATTTAGATCTCATATGTATCTTTCAGAAACTCATTACCAAAAAAGCAAGGACTTTCTTTGCAACACATAGGCACACAGGCACCAAGCAAGCTCTTAATTGCCAATTCTTAAAATCTCTGCTAATTTGATGAACAGGCACAGTTGTGTAATTAATTTGAGCTCCTTTTATTCTTCGTGTGCTGGAAATTTTCATGTGCTTTTTGCCATGTATATTTCCTCCTTTGTGAGTCACCCATTCATATATTTTGCTCAGTTGTTTATTGGAGTTTTACATATTTTCTTGTCAATATTTAGTGGTGGAGTTTTACATAAAGAAGATATTAAGATATGTACGTGTTTATGGGTATGTGTTTTATCATTCAGCTGACACGAGCTCCTAGCTATACAGCTATTCTAATTGCTTGAGGGGAAAATAATCAAACCAAGATAAGCTTTACACTGAGCTTCCCTTCCAGCAGAAGGGGAAAGCAGGAATCGCAGAGCTGCTGAGCAAGGGCAATTTTCATTCTGTCTTGGTTTAATGAGATTCTTTTTCTTTCCTCTCTCTCGTGAAATACAAACTTCTTTTCTGTTTGTCCACAGTTGTTGTGATCAGCAGCAATAATGAACTTGTACTGAAAAGCAACAGCAACTGTGCCAGAAGCCAAGGTGCTTCAACTGAGGACAGCAAGACCGGTACTGCAGATTGAGGCCCTCTATTCTGCGTAGGAATACACTTTCAATCACTTTAATGACAGGGTGACAGCATCGAAGGTTTGTCAGGGGCTCCACATGACCTGCAAGCTCCATCACCTTTAGTGGATTAAACTGGGCAGATTCTGAACTCTAAACAGGAACCAAGCAAGTTCTTAATCCCAAGCAAGCCACAGCCTGTAGCTTAGACGGCAAGATCCTACCAAGTCTCCTCTGCTCTCCCTGGGTGAAAAGAGCTGCAGAAGGCAACAGGGAAGGATTTCTTAGCCAGGAAGTTGAGGGACAGGAGGGAGATTCTTTTCTAAAACTGAGCTGAAACTCAGACAACAAACTTTGGGAGTGAACAGTGAAAGACCACGTGGTAGGAGCCAGAACAGGGAAGAAAGAAGAGTGGCTTCAGTGTACAAGGCCCTGCGGAGCACACGTGAGCACAGAGGGCCTAGGGGTCATCTCAAACCCCTTAGTTTTCAGCCGAGGAAACAGAGAAGTGACTTGCTTCAAATCACGCACAGTGTGGGGAACAGAAGGGACAGAGGCCGTGTCCCCGGATAGCAGCACACTGCCTCTCAAATAAAACTATCGTGTTTTGCTCCACCCACTTCCTCTGCACATCCTTCCTCTGGTTTGCAATGAGAATGTCAACTCTGGAGCCAGCAAGGCCTGCAAGGTCAGCAGGAGGGCCTCAGTGCATGTTCACTGATGGATGATGCCTTGTCCTATGCTTAAGAGTGAGGGCTTCAAAATCCAAGAGGGCCAGGCTGGCTTTCCAGCTGTGTGGTCTTGGAGTAAGTGCTTCGTCTCTCTGAGTCTCAGTTTCATGTTTTGTAAAATAAAGTTGTTAATAATAACCTTACCCCAGAGGGCTATTTTGAGGAGTAAGGTAATGAATGTAAGATCTCTGGCTTGGTATATTTCTATGCCACCAGCTGATTCTTTTAGAAAAGCAAATGAAGGCTGGAAGAAGATGAAGTAATTTTTCCCAAAGTAACTCATTCTCCAAATTACTTACAGCCAGAACCATAAAACTAGAGTCTCTGAATGGGGAGACAGTGCCCTTTCTTTCTCTTATGTCATCTCCTAGTTACGGTGGCTCATGTTTCAAGGGTCCAGTAAATGTCCTTCACATAGAGTGAACCTGTGAGTTATTTTTTAAATTATAGTAACGCCAGCTATGTCAAAATCACTACAGTCTAATGTAGGTAATAAAATGCTACAAGATCTCAGTTACAGTGAGCTCTGCCGGGACTGAAATAGCAAAGAAAAATTTTTTCATTATCAAAAGACACCATTGGAAGTAGGAAGAAAGTACTGTATTTGGAAAGAAGACAGATAAGCCAGGCTTGAGGAAGCTCTGCCTCCTCAGCTGTGGGATCTAGACAAACTGCTGCACCTCGCTGTGCATGTTTCCTTGTTCATGTAGAAAAGGGTTAGAATCAGTAGCTGAGATCTCATGAGGCTTAAAATAAACTAAATCAAACAAAACCTAGTATTAATCCAATAAAGATGATAGGCCTAGGTGGGAAATCTTCTGTGACATTATTAAGAAGGTATCTGCACTTGAGATTAAGGTAGAGAGGAATTTACTAGCCCACAGGAAAGACCTCATGAAAGTCACTCCCTGAGGAATCCACAGCTGCTGCTGCCAGCATTGCCAATTGGCATTATTATACAAAAGTGGGTGAATTTGCTGCTGCACGCAAGTATTAACCTTGCAACTGGAATATCCTTAACGATCTCCTCCCCGTACTGTGTTCAAGAGAAGATATTTCCAAAAGGAAATCAACATGTCTATGGTTACGATGGTAGTATTTAAGACTGGCATTTAAAGGGAAGAGTGCCCCCTAGTGGAAGTATAATCTAAACAGGCAACCAGGTCCACCATTAAACGCTGTTGGATAAGACTGATATTTGGGAAAATTTCCTTATAATCCCCTTCCAAAAGTCCCTTATGCTTTAAAAGCCAAATCAAAAAAAGATCAAGTTTAAGCATCTACTAATGAGATACTACGAATAACAAAAAGGAGTCTGACACATAATTTTGGATTAGGATGAAGAAGATAGCAAGAAAACGGTTAAGCAAATTAGAGGCACGGAAACGGAGCAGTAGAGGACAGGACACAGAGAAAGAAAGAAAGATGAATGAAAATCCGCATTTCTTCCTTATTTAAAAAAACTATTTCTCTTTATTCTTGAAATAAAATGCTTCAGAGGGCGAGAAATGCCTGAGTCCAAAATACTTCCCACCAGAGACCCTCTTTTAAGTGGGGCAGCCTTTCATACATCAGACAGGAAATGACTGGGCTCTTAGCGAAGCTACCTGCCAGGCCCCAGCACCTGATCTGCCAGGGAGCTGGTGGGTCTCACGCTGTTCATGTTGTGCGCCAGGCTTTTAAAAGGGGGAAAATGATGCAAAATGAGAGATTTGACAAGTGTGAGTGTTGGGTGGGAAAGGGAAGGCACTGGTGAATTACAGGAATGCTGCCGGGCGCCTTCAGTGGCTTTCTTCTAAATGGCATGGTAGTGTACTGCTACATAACTATGATGGCTTGTATCTAGATGTCCCCTCAAAGCCTCACGCAGTCATAAGAGAGGCTTTTCAGAGGTGGCTGGATCTAGAGTGTGTGATACTGGGATCAAGCGTGTGTGATTACTAGATCAGTTCACTGATTGGTTTGGCATAGTTCTGGGTAGGATTAAGGGTGTCCCACCCTGGATGTGAGTGCTACCTGTCCCGAAAGTGTGTAGCCTGGATAAGATATAAGGGACAGGAAGAGGGTCCCTACTTGTTGCTTGCTATCTTCTGCTCTGCCACGAAGTATTTCTCCTCTGTGATGCCCCTCTACCTTGGAGTCAGCCAGCTATGGACTGAAGCCTCTACAAACTGTAAGCCAAATAAATTCCCCCACCCCTTTAACTTTAGCTTTGGATGTTGCGTATTTTGTGTCAGCATTGAGAAAAGTAACTAAGACATTAACCCACTTACTGGTTTGTTCTACAGAGTTCTTTAGTAGCACATGGCACTCAGAAGGTATCTACTTCCCAAGTCAGGTGCTAGGATCGTTGACATATTCCCTCACTTTTTCCCACAGCTTTTTTAGAATCTCTACTTTTTCAATTTTTCTCTTTTTCCCTACCTGCTTCTCATATTGTCAAAATGCAGGACACAGGGAACTGAAAGGACACCTTTCCATTGTACCACGCCACTCACTCCATGATAGTTGAAATTTGAGCACAGCTGAAACAATCAAGTTAGAGATCAAAGATTCTGTTGCCACATATTTAGTTCAATCATGAAAATGTATTTAAGGCACAATAATTAGATTTCTAAAGCTGAATAAAACACTATCTCTGCCTTCTCAGAACTCTTGACAAATGTGAAGATGGCAGATGTCTCCGTTGCAAGTATCACCAGTCAGTTACAGAGTTCTCATGCAGTTTTTTCACCTTTCTTGACGCAGTGGTTCAGGCGGTCCCCACTGGCATGTAAAATGGAATATATTTACCATTTATGACCTATGGGTAGAAAGACGACCAGTGCAGGGGAAAAAAGACAGGAAAGGTGTAAAAGCAAAAAAGGTCGCCACAGACCAGCCCAATTACTATTTGTACCTAAAGTGGGTCCTGTCCGTGGACTCCGCTGTGTCATCTGAGGGTCACCATGAAAAACTGCTCAGTTGTCTCAGAGGAATGTCCATAGCAGAGGTCAGTGAGAAGTCCTGGGCATATCTGGGTGCACAGATCTGTCCATAATAGAGGAAGCTGGGCTGATTGCAGAGGGCGCAGAGAGCTGGGGATTGTGATTAAAAGAGATCAAAAGAGTGATGGAAGCCATGATGTGCTTTGAGACAGGGCTCCAGGCATTAGGTTCCAGCCATGATATATGTCCCTCAGGGGCCTGTTCCAGGGGCACCTCGAGAAGGGCCTGCACACTCACCCTATTTACAATCTGGGTATTTCCTTTGTCTTCACATGAGACTTGTCCTGGAATCTTGTGTTCCGATGTTGTCTGCAGGTCCACAGTTGGCCACACAGATGAGGTGAGTTCTTTTCAATGAAAGAAACTGACTTTTAACACAAATTCTTATCCCAAGCAATGGTTATATTACCAAATACTGCTTCTCCATGAGGAGGACAGTGCCCAAACAAATCAGCGCTAGGAGAGGGATTCTAGGTACTGTGGTGTTTTTGCAAGCATTTTCTGATTTCCTACATTCTAGGCACTTGTAATTAAGGACCTTATTTCTAGGACCTAATGGCTCCCTGAGCTTCTGGAATCTGTATCCCTGACGTGGAGTAATGCAAACTTGATCTAAATTATATATATTTTCATTGTATTTTTTTGAGGCAAGTTCTTGCTATGTAGTGTAGGCTATACTCAAACTCACTATGCAGCCCTGGCTATTATCAAACTCTTAATTCTCCTGCCTCAGCCTCCAAAATGCACCACCACACCCAGCCAAATTTTATATTCTTTTTAAAGAACCCTTAGAAATTATCTCAGTGAGAGGTGTCCAGTACAAAGGATCTATAGAAATGAATTAGGCTCTGCATGCCCAACCCATCCTTTCCCTTACACTACAGGCTTAAGTCCCCTTAGGATTTACCTTGTCCACAGACTGACAGTGTAGCAAAGGTCACAGCAACAGGAAGAAAACTCAGTGAGACATGAAGTGGCTGAAAATGTTGCACCAAATACTCTGACCAAAGAGTCCTGGCTTCTGGCCAACAGTGCAGCATGGTTCCCGGAGTAACATTCCCTACTCCACAGTAAGGTGCTGCCCTTGCTGGATTCTAGTCAATGGGGAACCAGCCACTGCCTCGATAGTTTGCTGGTAAAGTCATCACTCAATCACAGCATCCGCAGGGAATAGGAGAGGGCTAGGGATCTAACCTTGGCTATTTTATTTTTGGAAACACGAATGAGCTAGTCAGTTCTGGAGGAAGTCACGAAAAAATCTCTGAATCAGATGGTATTTCACCCACCATCACGGGCCAGATGACTTATGCTATCATCTACACATCAAACAGTCCCCCAAACATGCTAAATAGGACACAAAATGGCCTTCTGTAGCTCCAGCACAGAAAATGCAAGGAGCAAGGGTTACATGCCACACGGCAGCTGATGGCCTCAGCTTTCTTAGGGAGGGTGAGACTCCGGGGAAGGTAGGTTGCCCTGTGTCATTCACTGTACCAAAGATCCCAGATCCTAGTGCCAACAGGAGAGGAAATGGACCTGGCATGTTTCCCTCTCAAAGTTAGAAGCAGGCCTGTGGCTAAGGTGGAGGCATCTCTGTCTGTGAACCGGAGCGGCCGGTATAAGCCCTCACCTTCCCCTTCCTTCCTTCCTTCCCTGCAACTCCCTACTTCCAGTTTCCCTGGCTCAATCCCAGATCCTCCTCTCAGCTCTTTCTCTAACTGCCCACGACTCAGACACACAGTTGCTCAGTACTACCAGTTAGAAACAAGGAGAATGGGTTTGACCTGTCAATTCCTTGTGTCTCACATAGCTGTAGGAAACTGGGTACTGTCTCATACCACTTTATTTCCCTCAGTATCTAGCCCATCCTAGGAACCTAGTAAGATCTCTTACTTGATCAGCTCCCATACAATTAACCCCAGTGTTAACATGGACCTTTCCTTTCTTGATGGGTTCCCAAGGATTAACATTGCTATGGCCTAGGTATAAACAGCAGCTAGAAAAATTTATGGCAGATGTTTTGATAGAATTCATCTAGACGGAGAGTGCTCTGTGCTACTTTGGAAGGAAACTATGTCTATGGCCATACCACTCTAAACATGCCCCATATTGTCTGGAAGGAAAGTATTCCATTATTGAAAAATTCTTATTTTAATTCTTAGATGGCCATTAAAACTGAAGACCATCAATGTGACATAATTGCTCATGAAACCTCTCCAGGGATGGAGAACTTATTCCATCAAAAGCTGGAAAGGCCTCCCTTTTCTTTTGACTCTTACATCACTAGAAATTTCTATTTTATCTAGTGCTGAAATGTATCTGTATAGCATACTTGTACTGGTACTACTCTATTCCTTGGGGACATCTGATAGGTGTTTATGAAAAATAATATTTTATATTATTCCTTGCTGCTGAAGCAGAATATTTTATATTATAAAACTGTGGGTTAGGATTGGTTTAAAACAATCTAATTTCCTTATAAAGAACATTTATTTTGATTGAAGAAAAAAATAATACAGGTCCTAACAAACTCTTCCTGCCCTCTCCAACCCATCTCCAGCTTTTGAAAAACAGCAGGACTTGGGGTGGGTGGATGTACAGGAGCCTCCCCTGGCTACATGGAGCAAGGTCCCTGGTCTCATCCTTTCTCTAGGCCACCCTAGAACCAACACTGGCCCGGCTAAGTTCAACACGGGACTGAGGTCAAGTGACCAACAGGACAGAGGCAAGTGTTCTGAGGAGTCTCGGAGTGTGGCCATTTGGCTGAAAAGGCCAGTTGTGTTTCAGGGATTAAGGGAGAACTTCTGAGGGTGAAGAAAGACCATGTTATGACTGACATTAAGAGGAGCCAGGTTAGTGAAGGTTTGGGCACCTACCACCATCTCAGTTATGGACACACAAGGGAACTTGGGGACAAGGGAATGGGTAGATAATTTTCCATTCAAGGCTTCTTATTGATAAAGTAATAATGACAACTTATTACCCGATCCCTAAAATGTCTGAGCAGATTGATGTCCAGCTCTCAGGTTACTTTAAGGAGGAAGAATTACAGCCAGAATTACCTATCTCAAAGAGCCAATGTGGTGACATTGTGTGTGACTGCAAACTAATTGCCCATAAATACTAAGAACTGATTAAAAGTCCGTATTTTAAGTTTTTAACTATGTGTCAGGCACTGCCCTAAGCACTTTCCATGAATTAGAACATTTCATCCTCAAAATCACCCTGTAAGTTATGTACTATTACCATTCCAATTGTATATCTAGGAAGTCAGGGCATAAAGAACATAAGACATCACCCATGACACAGTCTAGAAAGGGTCACAGGCAGATTGTGAGCCCTACTCCTAACCCTCCACTACTAACCCTCCACTACTCTGGTGAAGTGGTTGTGTAGAATTCTCTAGTGACTCACAGCAACTTAGGTTCGTATGCTTGCCTACAAGTGGGTGTGATCATATTGACATGGAACACTGTCGTTTTAGTCTGACTTGTCCTCTGCTACTGATTATTCACAAGTGTAAAGATTAACCTTTCCAGGTTGGATTGGGGAAACTGACTGGCAGTGACCTGTATGACCCATGGGGGATGCAGGTCAAAAGATACTGGAGAATGCCCTTGACATTTCCCACTGGGTAGAAGGTAGTGGCTTAAAAAATAGTTAACTAATGATCTAGTCTGCATCCAGAGGTCTTCTTTTTTGGGGTGCCACTTGGAAACACAGAAGTAAAACCATCTTTCACAGCCAGCTCTCCAACTCCATGTACCTGGAGGAGACCCAGCACCTCATCTGCAGAGCAGACACTTGTGTCTAGATACTGACACACCCTAGAGCCCTTAGAGCCCAGCAGAGCCTTAAGCGTTCCTCTGTGACAGAACAGCTGGGTGTAGAGACCTGGACAGCAAATCCTAAAGCGTGAAATGTAAAGACCTGATGAATCACAGAAGAGAGCCTTCTCCTTTTCATACAGGATAAAACTAAAGCCACAAAAATTATTTACTGGAGGTCCCACAGCTATTTAATGCCTCGGCTACCTTGGCCACCTTTGTTTCCCTGAAGTCAAGCATAGGAGTTACCTACAAAAAGTTTATGATCTGTATGAATTTAAGCAGGTTGCTTAACCTATCCAATTTCAGTTTATCCATTGTAAAATATGGAAAATAGCCTGCTCTTTATGCCCCACAGAATCATTGTGAGATGAGATCACAAAAGATGATTCCCATCCTTCTTTATCCTTCCAAATAAAATCATTAGCTGCCAAGAAAGAGGCTTATTGTCATTCCTCTTCCCCTTACCCTTTGTCTTACAGATTTTGAAACAAAGCATCAGGTGACTTAGCCAGGACCTGACAGACTTTGGCTGGAGTAGAAAACCATAGAGCAGTGGTGGTAAACCTATGGCATGCATGGTAAACCACAACAGTGGGATGTTTCTGTCATCGAAAACTCTAGAAGGTTCACCATCACCGCCAGAGAGAAACAAATTAGGCAGATTGGTGGGGTTTTGCTTTTTATATATTTTTTCTTTTAGCTGACCTTTTCTGGAATAAGGAGAAAAATTAGGGATACAATCATCCCTGACACTTTAGAGATAATCTGGATCAATCACTGCATCTTAGAAATAAAGATCTGAAATTAAAATCAAAAGTTATTCTAAGTCCCACTGGGCTGGTCCCCATCAACTCTCCTGACACCAGCTCCTCTCAGCAATTACCTTTAGCCATGGCTTCCAGAAGGGAAAGCAAGGTCCAGAGCTGCTTTAAAGTGGCTGGTACCCACACCCAGGGGTTTATATTTAGTCCTATCTGAGCAACTGACTCACCGGGCTCATCCCTTGCCGCATTACCTGACTGCTTGTTCTTACATCTCTTTAAAGAGGGGCCTTCTCATTTACAAAGCCAACTTCCTTGCTGCTGAAGCCCCCCTCGACTCTTGCTATAAATCCAAGTGTCCTCCCCCTCCACTGGCTGGACCACATATTCTTATCTAAATGCCCAGTCCTTTTGATATCTGTAATGCTTCACCTCCTTTCCTCTCTGACCACTCCTCCATGAAGCAGCTCCTCCCTCCTACCTGGGACACAGGTAGAGAATCTCTGGTTTGTATGGTGATCCTTGACACAGAACACCTTTACTATAGCCCAAGCTTTGTCTTTTCTTTGAGCTCTAGATATGTATTTCCATGTTCATATCCCTGTGCAAAACCCACTCGTCAAGCCCAATAGTCCAAAAGAATGTGTCACCTCCCCACCCAGCAGTCTTCCCAGGGCTTGCCATTTCCATCTGGCATGACCTTATCATTGACATGACCTAGAGACCTGCCCATCTTTACTCCCTTGCTCCACTTTGAGCACCCCCAGCTTCAAGTCTTTTCCATAGGTCTCATATTTGTCATGCTTCTAAAAATATCACATGCTCTCTATTCTTAGTGCTACTATTCTGTCTTTGGCAGCATAACTGTAATCTTCCTGCATCCTGACATCCTCCTATGCAACTCAGTCTGCATCCTGTCCTTGGAGTTGTCTTTCTAAAGCCCAGACCTGATCATGTACTCTACTACTCAGTAACCATCAATGTCTCTATGTTGATTGTCAAAGTCAATCCAAATTTCTGAGCCTGGCATTGTGTTTTTATGTTACTCATCATTCAAACTGATGAGTTTCTACAGCACTTGCTACGTGCTAGGTGCTTTACATTATTACATGTGAGCTAAGTACTGAAATTTTGAAGTCAGAAATAGAAATGGCAACACAGTCATACGCCCCATAATGACACTTTGACCAATGACTGAGCACATATATATGACACTGGTGGTCCTATTGCCTACTGATGCTGTAGCCATCTTAGTTTGTGAAGATATTATCATCTTTCCTTAGTGACGAATCATCAAATTATGGACCCATCTCTAAGTAACACATGACTGTATTATATTTGTGTGCATTCTAATATTTTCAAGCTAAAGTAAAATGAACCCAGAAGTAGAGGCTAAGTAGAATTGTAAAGTTCTTATACTTAAAAGAAACAGTACATGATGAATAAACCTGAGCTGATGAGGGCAGTTATTACTAAGTAATATTTCTGAGCACTTACTGTGGGCCGGGCAGTGGGTTGTTTATATTCCTTGGCTTATTTAAATGTCACAGGAAACCTGTGCCTCGTTATTTATAGCTCATTGACAAAACTCATTTTACACAAGACAAAACTGAGGACTAAGAACTTAAGTCACTTGCCCGAAGTCAGAGACTCAGAAGCAGCGACACTCACAGGAACCCAGATACATCTGACTTCCCAGTGCCTGCACCTCACCGCTCCTCTCTGTTCCCTTAGTGGTGACAGCTTGCAGGAAGTGTCAAGGAGTATCTTACTCCCTCTCCTCCATCCTCACAACTTCAGTGTCCTAGCTGCACAACACCAAGGATTCTAGAACTCATACACCTTAAATATAATGAGTAGGGACTCTTATTTAAAATTCCAAGTTTTAAACAAGAAAAAGGAGAGCATTGGTCAAATCGTACAAGCTTTCACTTATGACATGAGTAAGTCCTAGGAACCTAAAGTACATCAGGGTGGGCTTGGGGTGTAGCCGAGTGGTAGAGCAGTTACCTAGCATGTGTGAGGCCCTGGGTTCCATCCTTAGCAACACACACATGCACACACACAGTATGATGACTTTAGTTAATGATAACATAATGTACACTTGAAATTCATTAGGAAAATAGCTCTTAAGTGTTCTCAAGACAGAAAATAATTTTAAAAGGGATGTGTAAATCATTTCACAAAGTACTATATATCAAATCATCATGTTGTCCACCTTAGATATATATAATTCTTATTTGTCAATCATACCTCAATAAAGCTGGGGAGATATTCTGAATTTTGCTTTGATAGTGTTAATGGAAGAAACTGTAGATCTAATGGTGAGATGATGTCTCTCTCCAGCATTTTTGTGTGCTTGTGCTGGCTGGAATTAAAATTCCCTCTGAACCAGTGGTAATAGCTTCTGCTATAGTGCCCCATTCCAGGTCCCCGAGTGCCTGCCCAGAGCCTCTCCCTGAATTCTCACTGTGTCCCTAAGAGATGTTATTAACTTCATTATTAAAAGGAAATAAACCAAGATCATAGTAGAGTTAAGGAGAGTTGTCGAGGTCACATTGCTCGTACTTGGTCAGCTTTCTTTTACAGTAATATGTTGCTTCTGAATAACATCTCTTACTCTTCGCAACAAGTCATTCTTCGCCAAATCTCATGTCCCATAGCTTTTCATTATATTATACACAGTTACTACACTAGAACCACACAAATGGTCAGTGCACTGGATCATCAATTGCAGTGATTCACCGAATTCAGATGTCTTCTCAGGAGGCTGAGGAGCTCTCTTAAGGCATTTCGAACTGAAAGGATTTGCTGTAAGGTGACTTCACCTGAATATTTAGCCATCACTGCAAATTCTGCTTCAAAGAAAGGGTCTATCTTCACGGGGTGTTGTAGCTGTTTCCCACAGCTGGCATTCCAGAGCAACCAGAGATTAGAGGAGCTTCTCTTTTGATTTAGAAATAGGAAAAGCAAGCCAGAGACCCACACAATCTCCTCTCAGCTTACCCTGTCAGTGGTATTGTGACAGGGGCAGCTCTGCTATTCTTGATGGAACATGATCACCTGGCCATCACGACACAGGGCCAACCTACAGCTTGGAGGACAGGCCAGACCTCCCAAGGACCAAAATTACCCTCAGGCTGCAGGAGCTTTCTCAAATAAGGACAAACCACAGTTCCCATCAGGAGAGCAGGGAAGGCTAAAATAGCCTCAGGTTATATTCTGAGTGCCCTTGGGCAAACTCATAAGCACCCTGTCCATCAAAACTGCTGTCCCAGAGAAAATGGTCAATGATAAGCAGCCCATGCTCAGAAGGCAGGGTGGCAAGGGGACCCCACGTGCACAAAGAATGCACCTGGGGTGATGGCTGCGCATGCTCTTAGCACTGCCAAGATGAGGGACAGGGCAAAGGTGTGAAACGGATTCCCTACCAACACACACACACACACACACACACACACACACACACACACACACACACTCACACACTTTTCTTACGTCATGGTTACCCAGGCAACCTAACATGAGTCATCAAATCGCAAGGTGGATTAGTGGAGGAGCAGAAAAAAGGCTTTTGTTTGTTTCTAGGTTTTCCTCTTCTTTCTTCTTAATTGCTTGGTCTGATGTTGATAATACCCAAGTAACTCTGTTACCCTCAGAAATCCTAAAATTGGTGTGTTTAGCTCATTCAATCTTAGAAAAATGTGATTGTGTGTGTATGTGTGTGTGTGTGTGTGTGTTTGTATCAGTTTGGGGAATCCAGAGCTTGACAATAGTGCCTCAAAGATGGAGGTTAAGAATGATTGCTTGAATAATGAGGGTGCAGGCTTAAAAATCAGATCCTCTCTGGGAGGAATCTGGTCTCCTGGGAGAAGCCAGCCCACATACCCCATTCTCCCAGAATCTGAGCAAGCAGGCCCAAATAGCCCTCAAGGAAGCAGTGGCTCTCAAGTTTTCCATTTTGGGACCCCACAGTGCTTCATAGCCCATTGGCTATGCATGCCAAGCACAATGTCCTCCCAGGAGGACCACAGACCAAAGGACTTCACCAAAAGCAAAAGCAGCTCAGCACAGAAACTCAAGATGGCAAAGGAGGGTGTGGGTACACAGTGCTAAAAAATAGCTGAGCTTAGAACACTCCCCTTGGGAGTGGATCTGCCTAGGTCTGCTCATGGGTGCCTGGAGAGGCATCACCTGCCAGGATTGGAGGTAGGTTTTTCCAAAGGTGGGGAGACAGGCACCAGTGACGGGGCTTGCCCTGTGGAATCCTCCTCAATAGAAATGGCCATGGATTCAATTGCTTCCCAATGATTGATCAGTAGGTGAAAGCAAGTGCTTTGGACACAGTGAGGGTAGAAAAATGGTTTTCTGGGCACCAATAAACCCAACCTGTGTCCTTCCTCTTTAGCTCAAAACTCACCAACTCCTTTGCCTCTATTCTAATATGACAGACCCAAGTTTGGTTTTGTAAAAGGGGAGACGTTTGACCTTTTAAAGTTCAGCTGAAGGTAATGCCATCTGAGGGCAAGACCAAAGAAGCACAAACAATTCTGTTACAGCTCACCTCGTCCCACCCACAGTACACAGTGCAGCTGTCAGGACTTTTCATCATCATCATCAGCTGTTTGAAAAGCCTAGCAGGGACCAGAGAAGGACCACATCTGCAGCAGAATGATTCCTAGCTTGGAACTTGTAGTCACTGGAGCAGCACAAAACTATTTCCACAGTACTCAAGAGCAGGGTAGGCTTTGAGAGAAAACTGTTGAAGTAGTATTCATTTCCATCACCTTTTACCCATAGCTTTTAAATATATAATAGACTGCCAAATATTCCATTGGGCCATGAGGAACAGAGACACCTCCTGGGGAGCATAACCATTCTTCCCTGTCCCTCCTCTCTATGATGAGAGAAGGCAAAAGAATCATTCCTACTAATGTTCATGACAGCTACCTTTGCTTTTCCACATTCCCACACAATTAGGCCAGAACAGTGGGCTTAGCAATTATTCTCATTGGATTTCCTGCTCTGTTCCAGCCAGCCCTTCCCCGTACCTCACCAGAGATGAGGTGGTGTAGTGACGACTTACCCTGGGGCTGTTCCTGGGAGGTACCCCCAACACCTTCTAGCAGGCCTGGCTTTACTCACAGGTAACCCAGACAATACAGAAGATTTTTTAAAGGAGATTTTTAGAGATCACCTATCCCCTCACTTTAGATAAGGAAAGGTGACCAGAGAGAGGAAATGACTTGCCCAAGGTGCCATAGCACCTTCCATGGCAGAGACAAGAAGCTGAGATTTCTGACTTCCACCCGAGTGCTCGTCTCTAGAACTCAGTAAGGTCTGAGAGGAGAAGGAAGTTTCCATCCAATTCCTTTCTTGGACAAGTATTGTTTTCTCTGAATATTATTAACAACAACAAGAAGGATGCATATGGGGATAGGAAAGCAACATTTCAAGTCACCAAAACTTCAGCATAAATAAATAGCTCTGACCAGTCAATTCTGTCAGTGGAGGACTTTGTTTGGTGGGTAGCCCAGTGTCCTGGGGTGGGAGTGATTCCCGTTAGGGGCTGAAAGAGAAAGGACAAAGAATTCTGTAGACAATGCCACTTATATCATAGCTATCACCCATTTCTGAGTGAAGAGTGTGATGGGAAACTTCCAGAACTCGTGGTGGATTTGTTTACAGATCCAGCCATGCATCTGCTGGAGATTTAGTGATCAGTCTCCATTTTACCTCCTGTTGACCAACAAGATCTTGACTGATTCCCCAGGAAGTGTGAGCTGCAGAGCCTCTGGCCCACTAAACACTCACACCCTCAGGCAGGGAAATTAGAAGACCCTGGCCTTCCGAAATAACCTGTTGTAGCTCTTGGCTCTGTTCTGTTTCATTTGCATGACTCCCGGCCCCATGACATTTCCTGTTCACAGTCATTCTTACAAGCCTCATTTCCCATGACTATGAAAAGGTCCAATGGCCACCTTTGAATCACAAATAAAAATACCAAATTAAACATACTTTGACATAGCCTAGACATTAATGGCATGAAGGTTGGAATAGATAGATTTCTGTGTTTACTGTCATATTTCATTTTCAAAAGAGAAATCGTTCCATCTTATGAG